TTTTTTTTTTTTTTTATAAATTTATCTGCTGCAAATCTGTGCTTAACAAATCAGCTTTTTCTACTTTATGACAATATTTAAATTAATAAACATTTATGACGATTATTTGATGTGTAAAGCGAAAAAAAAAACAAACATTTGACTACAATTTTTTTAATAAACAATTCTATTTTTAATGTCTTAAAAAGGTTATTTTTACAACAAAATTTTCTCCTTAATCAGGTCAACATTTTAAAGTCGTAAAACAAATAAAGCTGGAGTTTTTTTGTCATTTATACTGACATTTCTGATACTGTGCAACGGGGAATTTAGTCGTCGTCATACGTGTAACATTTATTTGCATAAAATCTAAACTTTTCCACTTAGGTTTTGAATAAAAAGTTTGTGCTGTTAAGTAAATTGAAGTAATCAGTTGAATAAAACTGGATTTATCACTTAAGCTAGATGCCTGTATTGAAACTAGAACAAGTGAAATAAACATTTTAAATGCTAAAATTACCTGGTTGCTATGAAAGACTCTGAAGAAACCGGAGAAGAGAATACTTGGATCAATTGTAACTTCAAATACCTGACGTCCGGGAACAACTGGACAAGATGGATTTTCATCACACATATGAAAGTCGGATCTAAAAAATTTTATATTTGAATAACCAACTAACTGTCAGTGAAATAAAGCGGCAAACAAGAGTTTAGTTTATAATATTTTAGAGTTTGTACCCTAATAAACAGTTTTATTAACAGCTAAATTGGTGATTAAATATTTTTGTGCAAAATTTTTATTGTCATTAGCTTTAATTAAAAAACTGAACTCTACTTGATGCTTGTCGAACTAAGTACTTTTGCTGTCTTTTTTTTTTGCTTAATTTATGCAAACATAAGAAGATAAAAATTTATAGTGCTAACTGCCATAATGATATCATTCAGTTAGACTATGTAGAAGTGTCAACTAAAAACTGCTTACTAATTGCTTAAGTTTTAGTAATATAGTTGAGAGGGAAAAAAAATATCTTTAAACAAACATCATTAATTTGATTTTTTTTTGGTTTAATAGAAACGATAATAAACTGGTGACACACAGTTTTATTAAATTTATCTTGGTTAGAATAATAATTTTATTTTTTTTTCTTTTAATTTCTGCTAATTTTTTGGCTTCTAATGTCAATTTTCTCCAACTCTTTTAAAAGTTTTACAATTTTTTTAAAATTATGAAAACCTGCATAGTTTATTTCATTTTTTTTTCTCTTATTTTAATCTTTTTTTTTTTTTTCAAACGACACTTGCAACGAAGCAGTGAAGTAACTGAGAATGACAATATTTTTTTGCACTTAACTATTTGCCTTTTCTTCTGACGTTTGCTTATTCCTAAGCATAGTTTTTTTTTTTTTAAATATCAACACCAAAACATAAAACACAGCATTATCAACAAAGTTTTTTCTTCTGCTTTTGCTTGCAATTCTTAAGCAAAAATCTTCTTACTTCCTTTTTCATAATTTATGTTTACTAATATTATCTATAAAATATATTTACTTTAGTTAAAACTTTTTGATCTTTGTTTATTGCTGTAGAATCTACCTCCTTGCCATTAAAACAACAACAACAAAAAAAAAATACAGACTAAATTGTTGCCATTGTCATCAATGATAAAAGCCATCATTCGAATCTTCAGTGTTTCTTTTTTTTTTTTTCTGCTTTAGTTTAGCTTAAATGATATTCCATTGCGCAGAAAGTTGACAATCAAAGACCAAAGCTAGAGCCAAAAAGTCAAAAGTCACAAAAGAAGAACGAAGAAAATAAGGTAGAAGAATTATACATTAATCCAAAACTTGGTATGTATAACCATCCACAGCCCAGCCATCCGGTTGAACGTTTGTAGACGCTTACTTCGACGCCAAGATTATCGTATCTGTAATCATCCATAAAACAGTTGCTGTGTTTAAAAAACTGATCATTTCTGAGCTATCACTATTGATAATCTTTGTTTTGCTAATAATAACCACAAAACATTATAATTGTAATCTTTTTGCA